AAAATTGGAAAATTAAAAGAAATTAAAAAAAAATTAAAACAAATTAGCTCAAATAGTTTTTGAATTTTTTAAGACATTTAAAAATATAAAAACTGTTTATAGTATTTTTTATTAATTTTTTATTACTTTAAGTTACATATGTTTTCAGTCTTCACGGCTTTTATATTTATTAGTTTTTTTTTGCTTATTTTATTTGTTAAAAAATTATTTCTCATTTAAAAAGAACGGTTGTGAACCTCTTCAAGGCTAGAAAATTAATAATCCGAATATTATTGACGGAACAGTTAATAATATTTAAAAGACTTTAGAATGAAATAAAAAATAATAAAATAAGTTTACATTCACATAAACTCTTTTTAAGCCATTCAATTATTTTAAAAGTTTTTGGAAAAAAAACTCAAGTCCTCATTGTTATATAGAAATGAAAATTCAAAAAATAAATACTTAAGCAATAAAATGAGAAATCTGCAAATAAAAAATTAAAATAACAAAATAAAATAATAAAAACTAATTAGAAATGTTTCGAGTTCAGAACCTTGACATTGACTTTGGAGCGCCATAAAAGTAGGCAGCGATGCAGAACAGAAACAAAAACTCAAGCACCCACACGCATCTCTATAAGGCAAACCGTGGAGCTCTCTTGAAATTTTAATAAAAATTTGAAACACGTACTTTAGCTAAACATTTAATATATAAAAAAATATATTTTAATTAACATAAAACAGATGCATATATCCATTTTTGTACTAGTCACTGTATGTTGTAGTTTACATATTCGTTTTAAGACGTAAGCAATAAAAAAATTTTTTTTAAATGCTATTATAAAATTTAATTTTTGAGCTTATAAACTCGTTGTATCTTTTTACGAGTATCTTATTACTGGCAACTAAATTTATAAACAACAAAATTATAAACAACGAATCTAAACAACTTTGAAATGTATTTCATTGATATGTATATGTATATTTCATCCAAAATCTAAGAAACAAAGTTAAATAGAAATATGGAATTAAAAAAATTAATTTTATTTGTTATTATACAAAACACTCTTATTAATTCTTTTCTCCTGTCTGATAAATATAACTGATTCAGTTATTATTGTAACGGTTGTAGATTCAAATAATAGAGTATTATAAACACCAAAGATATCAAACTGTGAGTTTTTGTTATTATAATCAATGCAACAAGTTAATAAACGCCAACATAGAGTAAGTAAAGTCCATCGAGTTATTACTAACTCGATACCAGAATATAGAAAAAGCTAAAGGAACGAGAAAGCTAACAGTTTAGCCCGCTCTGATGTTTCCATGGATGTGTCCCTGGGGGTACCGGTTCATATTATCGTAGAGACAATTAAGAGACAACTTGCAACTTGACAATAACAAATGGAAAGCACTTAAGTCATATGCAACTTCCACATTACAAAGACTCACGTATAATAAAAATAGATACTCGGAACTCATCAAAAAAGACCGCGTAAACACAGCAAGGTTTACTACAGTTCTTTTTGGTCATTGGTGTGTAGGGAAACTATGCATTCCTCATAATCCTCACTGCAGAAGTTGTGAAAATCTGCCGGAAAAAGAAACCATAATACATTTTCTCTGCGAATGTATTATTTCTCTGCGGCTTTAGCGTACAGAAGATATAGGTTTTTAGAAAGACTTAGTTTATCATCATTGAAGACGAAAGTCCTATTAAATTACCTAAATTCAGCGGGATGGATTTAGTCTATATTCTTCTATTTAAGGCGTTCTTGCGTAGATTGTGATAGCAAAACCGAGAAAAATCGCTAATTAAGGCACAAGGAAGTTATCTAATGGCCTGCTATTGCAACCAACCAACCAACCATTACTAAAAATATAGAAAAAATTGATTATATATAGATATTCGTATCAAATCGGTGTATCTGGAATATCGGAATTTCAGAAATGGCCCATATTCCAAAATGGCAAACCTTAAACTAAACATATATATGCTGTCATAGGTGACAGTTCTGTTCACCTGTGCTAACAGATCAAGAACCTAAATAGATAATACTTTATTTTTGTTTTTTACACTAATCAACCTAATCATTTTGTTAGCGATAAAACAATCTGTAACAACTAATTTAAAAAATAAGTATGATGAAGTTATTAAACTCTTTAATTTAATATGTATATATACAATATAGATATATACAATATATAGATAATATAGAAATTTGTTTGAAGTAAATATTTATACAAATAATTCTTATATATTTTTATATATAAAAATTCTCAAGTATTTTCGTTTTATTGAAACTTGCATCAACGATGATTGCAATTAACACTTATTTCAATTAAATATTTATTACATAAAAATTTTTGCATAAATTAATACTTCGTTTTATATTAGATTTTCATTAAGACTGTGTCATCATTAAACTGATGTCATAAACTTTCAATAAAAATTCAAATTTTCAGCAGAGTATTTGAAAAAATAATATAAAAAAATGTTCAGATTTATTGTGATTGATTTTACGAATATGGCTAAGTTTTTTATATACATTTTTTTATAAATCATTGAAATTATGAAAAAATAAAAAAAATATTTAAATAAAATTATGATTCATAAACTACGGTCAGTTGTTTTATTTATTGATTTTATTCATTTTCTAAAAACAAGTTTAAGAATAAATAAACAAGATGAGGTGTGAATAAATTTTGAAATATTTCAGATATTGTGAAAGAAATCCACTTCAAGAATAAAGAAAAATAGCACGAAAATAACAATATTCTTAGAATCTTTATTTTTCTGTTTAAACATTTCTTTGTTTATCATAATATTTGCTAAAAAGAACTGTAAAATAATATTTTTTTATAAAAAAAAATATTTAACAAGTATAGCTTAATTTTTGTTTAACATAAACTTAAAACTAAAGAGTAGTTATTAATAATTTCTTAAACAAATGCAGTTCTGATATATTTTAAGTAACAAAGCTCTTCAATCATCTATTTATATTGAATTTAATGCAATACTAAAGGTTTATAACTAATTAAGTCACAGTTAAATTCATCTATAATCAATTAAAATTTTAACTAAAGTCAGATCTTCAAAGTGAAGCTGACTGGTAAACCGAAAACTGAAAAAAAATTAATTACGCATTCTCTTACAGTAATTATTTCTTATTATTATATATTATTTTTATTACAATATTGTTTTTTATTACATTATCAAATAACATCACCTGAATCTTTTCTAAAGGACACAAAATATTTTTTTTCCTGAATTATAGATCGTTAACATAAGTCTTTGCGAGAAAACAAGTCTAAGTAGAATCTATCAACCAACCTAATGTCTTGATATGTCATATCTTGTTCTAAAATATTATGAAACATAACGTTCTCCGTTTTAATGCTTCGGTTTTAAGTACTATTTTAGCGATATATGTCAAACAAAACTCTCATCTAAGGCAGTATGTCTTTAATCGAAGGTTTACCATTCGATCGTTTAACAACTACTGAACGTATAAAAATTGTAAAATCCATACAAATAAATTAACTATTTCCTACATCGTATCCTTTGCAATGATGACACTTATTCTTCACTTAATGGATAGATCTGTTAAAACCAAATTATCACATCTCGGGCAGTGAAAATCTACATGTAACCTTTCTTGATTTCTATATCAAATTGTATGTAGAAAGAATTTCGAGGATATGACGTAAACCTAAAATTCTGATTGCTACAGACACATGATTACCAATTTTTGAAAAATATGGCTATAGAAGATATACATGTGGTTTTAGCGAGTTGCTACTGTAAATCACATCGCATACAACACATGCTGTTTTGGATTTGTTGTGCATGAAATTTTTCCGAACGTTTAATATTATATCTGGGTAATGTGATATAGCTACTTAATCATACGGTTTGTAATTGCTGGTCTTTTTTTATAAACGTATGCAAAGAATCGAGTTTTAATGGATAATTCTCAAACTCTTGACACTTTGAAAATGAACAGTTACTAAGTTTTAGCCAAGCTAAAGCCAACTATGTGTGACGACAAGTCATCCTCAAGATGATGTAATACTGTTAGATACCCCTTGGAGGATATTTAATTAATGAATTTCACACCTAATGGCAACAAAGATTTTGTTATTTGTTAACTACTCCTTAAGTAATAGACCTTTTTCAAAAATTTTTTTGTTATGTTGGTACACTTTTTCTTGACATATGGTACAAATTTCAGTGCCATCTATCAATTAGTTTGTTTACAGCAGCTATTAATGTGAGACTACCTCAAGTGCATTTAGCGATTTTTACTATGGAAAATTCTTGTTGTACACGATTTTTTGACCAAACACGGCACCATTGTCATCGCTCAGACACCATATTCAACAGATCTGGATCCGTGCGACTTTTTCCTGTTCCCGAAACTCAAATTGCCCCTTCATGATAAGCGTTTTAAATCGATTGAATCCATACAAGAGAATTCGCTGAAGGAACTAAAAGCCATACTTTCATGGCCCTACGAAAAGCGTATGGAAGTATGGGTTAAGCGTTGGCATATGTGTATCGCTTCAGAAGGAGTATATTTTGAAGGGGATAAAATAAATTTGGAATAAAATTTAAATTTGTGTGTTTTATTTACAAAATCCGAGTACTTTTTGAGCAGAAGGCAAACCTGAAATATTCAAACCTCATCAAATTTAAACATATGGAGTTATAAATTTATATTACTTTCGATAATGGTAAAATAAATGTTTTTTATATTTGTCCATTTAAAAGTTCAAAAACATTTTCAAACTTTTCTTTAAGACATGTTTGAAAGTTCGTGAATTTTCCATAAATTAAATGCAATAACATAAAATCAATATAAACTTGCAAATCTCTTCAATTCAATCTACTCTTACGCAGATACTTAATAGATTTAATAAAAAATATTATTATTTAACCACAAAACTAAATAACAAATTTAAAATATTTATGTATATATTTGTATCTGTACGACTAAGTATAGTTTCTCCACTTACCAAGCTATAAAATATTTCGACAGCAAAAATTTATTTCCTAGAAATTTTTGCACTGATAATGCAGCTGCATCAGCATTTCTCCTTGAATGTAGTTGTCAACTTCTTTGCATAAAACTTCAATAAGTTGTATGTCTGTCTGTTTGTTCGTTGGGTTCGTTGGTTAGTTATTTAAAGCACAATATTTCCTTGTCGTAGATGTAAATGATTTGCACATAAATCAATTCACTGATCACATACACCTTGGTCAACTAAATCAAATGTCACCAAATCTTGTTTGGTTTCCTTAACTTTTCCAATAAATTTAATAAATTACCTATTTTTTCACTTTTTAAATTATTAAATTAATTTTTCATTTCTTTTTTAAATTATTAATAATAATTTAATGCATAATTTATTTTTGAGTATTTTTTATATTTTGCAGTTTATTTTATTTCTTATTTTTTTTATTAAATTTCTTGTTACACTTTTAGTTACTTCCTGTAAATTTTGGATTACAAAAAGGTTTTCTAAAATAGTGGGAAAATAAAAAAAAATATTATAATGCTCATAATTAATTAGAACATATCGTATCACCAGATGTTATAATTGAAAATACGAAAATTGTATTGCAACCATTTTATATATTTTAACACAAGTCTAACTGTAATAATTTTATTAGATTTTTTAATTTTTGTTTATAATTTATTAATTTCAAAGTAACTAAGTAGCATTCTACCGATCTAATCCTACCTATCTCATCCTACCTTATAATACTTATAGATAAGTCGATAATGATGTGACACATTACTTATATGAGTCATTACTCTGTATTAAAAAAGAAATTCATGTTTTTTTTTGATAATCATATATTAGATTATAAATAACGTTAAGAAATTATGTGAGCAAGAAGGGGTATGAGCAGTCATAAACCCCAATCACATCAAGAATCTTCAAACTATAGTAAACAGTTTAAAAAAACGATTCAAAAGATATGGAATCAACCTCTTCCTACCTCATCCACCGACAAAAATCATTTTTAAAAATAAGGAATAATAGAAAAATAGTTTGCAAGAAATATAGCTTTGAAAAAAAGAGAATAAGATAATAATAGGTAAGAGAAACATAACCTTTTTGTAGGATTTTATCTAAAAACTTTTTTCCTGATAAACAAAAAAAATCAATACTATTTATCGTTTATTTTGCACATTACTGAGGAATAACATATATTTTATTTTTCCTTTGAGAAAACAGATCTGAATAAAACTATGTATTCTATATATGTCATTCATCACACCTTTGACCGAAAACGGACAAGAAACATTGATAAAAGAAGACACCAGAAAATTATCAAGACATTAGAAAGAAAACAAGGACTACATTTCTAAGAAATATATATGTATGTAATAAAAATTTATTATATAATAATAAATTGATATATTATAATTATTATTAATTAGTATAATTATTATTAATTATTAGTATTAGTATTAATTATTATACTTATTTTTAATTATTAATTAAAATTTAATAATTTTATAGTTAAAAAATTATATTTTATATAATAAAATTTTATTATATATGTATATATGGTATATTGACTAGAAAAGAGTTAAAAAAACATAAAGGAAATCATAGACAACAAATGTGTTTATAGTAAACGATCTAATGGATTACTTGTAACAAACCTTACTCTCAAAGCGAACTCTTATTATATATTTATATTGATATGATTAGCATTACTAGCAAAAAAGTTTGTCTTTTTTTTGGTGTTTCATCTAATATGTTGGATCCAAAGCAGCATTTTCATTTTATTTCACAGTTTTATTTTTAAAAGAAAAAAATGTACTTTAGGTAAGAAATAACTTTTTCAGCGTGTATGGGGAAGAAGAATTGAGAAAACAGCAGTGTTAAGATTCGTTTGCAAGATTTCGCGCTGCTAATTTTGGAAACTCGATATCGCGAGAAGTAAGCTATATAGGCATATATAATGAAGTGCAAAAAATTGAAAATACCTAATTCTACTATTATAGAGAAGTTATAGAATATAGAATATATAGAATATACTCTACACTAGGTTAACGATCCCTGCAGTCTGATCTTTAGGTTAGCTTGCTCTAATTTGAACAAAAAACGTACCAGTCAGCTACTTCAACTAAGGTGGAACCTGTTCAGCACTACGGTATCGGTGCTGACGGATCTGAGGACTCGGAGAAAACTATGTTTCATCACAAGTGGCAGTGGCCATCTTTAGATAGGAGATGATCAAAAATCTTAGAGGCTCCTTTTTGTTACCGATCTGACTTAGCTGTCATCTTGCAATATTAGAGACTTAGCTAGGTTCATAGAATTGTCAGGTTGTTTTGCCTTTACTTAATGGGAGAGTCGTTGCTTTTTTCGTCGTTGGACATATACTGACTATCTAGTCTATATACAAACCAACGCTATTCCTGTGGTGTCACAAAGTGTCATTATATGAATTCAAGTGGACTTTCTTGGATAACAAGGCCGCCACTGCAACCTAACCTAACCTAACCATATTATAAACTAATTCAAATCATTATTAAATTTGGACAAATTCGAAATTTAGAAAAAAATACAAAATCCAAACACCACTGCTGATGATTTTTTAGCACTACTCGACACAGAATTACTTTCTGAAAAACCCAATATTTTCACAAATTTAGTGAAAAAAAAAAACATTTATTGAGCCTTGAAGTCACATAGCTATACCAAATATTTTCTAATTTCATTTTTATATTTAAATGTCAAAGTATAAAATTTTTTGTATATATAGTAAAGGTCAATATATTTCTAAGCTAATCATTTTTGTTATTTCTTATTATTTTTTTTAACTTTAATTGCCTGAAACGAGCTTTGCAAAAATTAATATTTAAATTTTCTGCTAAGTTTATCTTTACACTTTTAAATATCTTCAAGGCTGTGTATAATTTATATCTAGTTTCCTAAGAATGACTCGATTAATAAATCATACACTTTACTTTCTTCCACAAATTAAAGACTTGTTTTCGATTAACTAAAAACAAAAAAAAAATAATAATAAAATGTTCACAAATCTCAGCATTCAAATAAATTTTCACTTTTGTCGATAAAAGGCATTATTGTCGAATTTGTTGACTTTTTTTTTTACTTGTTAAACAGTTTTTTTTTTTCAATTTGTTAAACACCAAAAAAATGTAATATTTCCATGGGTAAACATTTTCAGATTTACAATTAAGCATCGGAAGAGATGACGACGAAAAATGTTTGCTTGACGATGTGGCAAAAATAAAAGGCAAATCGCTTGATTCGCTACTTTCACATAAAGCACATAAAATATATATAAAAATTATTAAGAGAAGTTGACACTTTTGTATACGACGAGCAGATACGACAATTATGATTATTAATTTATTTCTTGTTATGCGAAATGACCGCTATTGTTGTTGTCACTGTGGCTGTTGTTGTTATTGTTGGTGCTGTTCCTGTTGCTATTACTGTTGTTAATTTTTTTCTTTTATATTTCTCACTTAATTGTTATTAAATTTAATTGTGCATTTCAAGTTAACAAAACATTTGCCTCGAGCGTACACCGACCACGACCACGACCGCACCGTAAATCGACACTTACGGTAAAGCGAAACAATTTGCGAGACTTTATTGCAATTTCTTTAATTAAAAATCGATCTGCATGTAAATTTATTTATATTGCGAGTAAATAGTTTAAATATTTATAAATAGCAACGGTATAAATGCCTTTAAGGTTCCGGGTTGCAAATTGCTAGGCTAAGTTAATGCACAGGAAAAAGTATAATCGATTAAGAACAAGTGATTACAACAAGCAATTTTTATAGAGAACTGTACGAGACATATTTACGATATATCAAACGCAAATCAAATGCATTGAAAGGCAATCAATGCAACGCCGATTGATTTACATTCATACAATACATGCACACACGCATACACGGAAAGGAAAAACAGAAACAAAAACAAAAACAAAAGGGTGAAATATGTTGTGAAAGTAACACAGCACAACAACAACAACAACAACAACAACAACAACAACAACAAAAACGACAGTTTCAGTTACAAAACGGCAAAAAGTAAATCATAAAAATAAACACAAAAATAAAAAAAAATAAATAAATAAAATATTGTCAACGCACAATGAACTTGATCGATCGGAAGAAACAAGACGCACGATCACGAACTACGATCATTAGCTTTTAGTGGCGATCAGCAGCATCGCAGCACATTGCGGCATCGGCGCGGTGGCGACCGCAATGTTTGCAACTGCATATGCTGTGACGGTGGCGGCACCGATAATGGCGAATGTAAATTTACAGTTACTTGCAACAAATAATTTTTTTTGTTTTTGTTTTGTTTTGTTAACAACACACCAAACTGCACTTTCATGCAATGGAATGCACTTGTGTGTGCAACTTTATTTTCAGCTTCTTTTCGTCGTCAACATCGTTGTTGTTGTAATATATCTTTTTTTGTTGTTATTGTTGTTGTTGTAATTTTTCATATCGGATTCTGCTTTAGCACGTTTTAAGTTTGTTGTTGTTGTTGTTATTTTTATTTTTATTTATTTTAAATTGATTAAAGTGAACGGGTAAGTTTGCGGTATACAACGCGGAAAGTAAAAAAAAAAATTATATACCATATATAAAAATACAATATATAAAAAAAAATTGTGGTGAAATTTAATGACTTTTGGTACTTAATTTTCATATTTATTTTTAATAAATTTTTTTGGCAATTTTTTTATGTGTTTATGTGTTTTTTTGTTGAACAATTTTGACAAATTAACCTCATATAAACCAAATAATTATTTTAACTATTATTGTTGACTGTCACTTATTTAAAATTATATATAATTATATGCAAAAATAAAAAACAAACACACACACTCATTTATTATACATAATTTCAACTCAAAATTATTATAAATTTATTTAATTTCGTTAAACTTTCGTTCGTTAAATTTGTTCGTTTATTATTACAAAAAAAAATTTAAACAATAACAAAACACTATAATAATAAACAAATAAAAAATTAAAATAATTTTAACATTTAAGAGATGAAAACCGCGTGGTTAACGCGCTACGTACCAAACTCTAACTGCGCGTATTTTCCATACAAAACTCAGCTCAAAGAAACTTCTTCTTACACGTTTAACAGTTTCTCATTCACTCCACGCCGTTACTCACAAGCAACGCTCAATTTGCTCCAAGCAATTCATAAACACGTTTAAGCAGCTTAGAATGAAACCAGCAAAACAAATGTGTAATAACAAAATAAAAAACAAAGAAAACCTAAAAATTTAGTAGGTCCACTTAGTTGACC